ATAGGGTATGGTTTTTCGGCTTTTGGGTCTGGGGTAGGGTATCATTTTTTGACAATTTGTCTGGGATAGGGTATCATTTTATCATGGCATAGGGTTAACGATTTGGTCGTTTTTGTCTGGCGAATAGGCTACGCTTTCTGCCGACCAAAAACAATAAAAATGTTAGTAAATATTGATTGCAATCGATTGTAAAACCGTATTTTCCGTCTTTTAGTCTGGGATAGGGTGTGCAATTCTTAGTTTTAGTCTGGGGAAGGGTATGTAAAATCAAAATTTTAGGTCTGGGATAGGGTCAGGGTTTTGAGTTCCTGGCGGCACACCCCTACCCAAGTTGGGGTGGTAGTACCCCCCCCCCCCCCCCCCCGGGGCAAACGTATTGAAATATTTCCCCCCTTTTGACTTACGCTGTAAAACCAGCAAATAAGACAAAAGATTTATTTAACTACCCTTACAAGTATTTTACGGTCTTACTGGTAGTGAAGGTCAAGCCTGGGATACCTGTGCATTTATATATATAGTATGTAGTATTTAGTAGTTTTGTTTCCGTGCAGTTTTTGCAGTTGTTTGGGGTGCTTCATGTTCTATTATGACGTATATTTATCTCTCTTGACCAAGTAAAACGAGTATCAGTACAATGATATTGTTCATAAACGGCCCCGCAATTCTAAGTCAAAGTCTGCTATCAAAAATAAGTTGCGTTGGAGAAATGCGTGAATGAAAATTGCTCGGAACTCATGCTGTGGCAAATGGATTCGATATATTTATTAAATAAATCACTTGACTTTGGTCACTGTGTGACATCCGGAACTGTCTCATGCAATAGTGTTGGATTACCTATTTTCGCATAATATTTACTTCGCTGTCGTTTTGGAAACACGTCCTGCCATCGTTGGATATGGTTGTTCTGTACAAAGCCCTTTTAATATACTTGGCCTAATAGTTTTAATTCGATAATTAGCTACCATATAATTGGGATGAATAGAATTCTGTAGGTTCTGCCTCAAGGACTACTGAAAGTACACGATATTAGTGATGGGTGACGGTTCAAAGCTATGTCTTGTAATGTCAGTCGAATCAATCCAAGATACAAAGGAGTTACCTAAGAATGGCCTAAATAACAATGCAGAGGATATGTGTATGTACACACCAACCTTAAATACGCCATGTGTAGACGAACCACGAACGACTCAGACGTCATCGACTCTTAGCAGTAGTAGAAGAAAATCTGAATCCCAGGAAAGAGGAAGGCGACTCGAGAGCATCAATGAGGACTCGGAATGTTTCACTTCGGTAATTCGAAGTGCATCAACGTCTACAATGAGTTTTTCGCCTCCTTTCCCAGGATTTCAGGTTCCTGAGGCTACGGTTGTTTTAAATAATGTACACGAAAGGAAAAGCCGTGGTAATGTGAATTTGTCATTTCGAGAAGCCATTCCTATAATGCCAACAGCGATTGCAATCATTTGCTTGATCTTCAACATAGTTATCCCTGGCACAGGTAGGGAAACTGCAAGAATTCATCTTTTGCTTTATATTCCGATTTGGGGAATTGGTCTAACTAATATAATTCTGTTTGAAGAAGTCTTTTTAACCTTAACTCATATTAATTAGTATTAAATGATTATTCTGTAGATTGATGTTCTGCTAGCAATTTTAATCAGTCCATCAGTTTGAATCTGGTTCATGTTTATACTGTTAAGCTCCTGATACATATGTCTAGTTTTTCATTGTGAAAATTTTTCAAAGTAACCCAAATGTTCGTACCTTTGTCGAAGTAGATCTTTCATAGATCAGTAGACCTTCAGAGTAATTTTTAGGATCAAACTTTTCAATCACGTAATTTAGACAATTTAAAAAAAATACGCTTTGAAAAATCCACCTTAGAAGTATCTATATATTTATTTAAGAGTTGCAATGATGAGAAGAAATCCGAGGAATCAGAAAAGAAAGAAATCTAAGATTTTTTATTTCAAAGTCCTTGATTTGTCTTGAACATTGATGATTAACTTTTCTGTATATAAAACATGCCCGCAGGCTACCACACTTTTGATTAAAACGCACTTTCCTGTCTTAGGAATAATTTTGATTTTCCCTGGTATGTCAACGGATGTACAAGTAATTATTTAGGTAAATTAGTGTATTTGTAATGAAAAGAACCTAGAATTGATTTAAATTACTTCCACTCAGAAAAGTTTACATTTAACATCATATGAAAACCATCCAAACCAATGAAAAAATAGAATAATATAAAGTGAATTGTAAACAGAACGCATTCGAACTTTATGTTACAACACAACTAGAAAGTGCTACATCTCAGTGACCCTCAAGAATTTCATGAAAAGGCCTTGGAATTTGTTGGGGGCTAATTTGGCGAATATTAGGTCAGTTATATTGATTCACACCACACACACAAAAAAAATACTCTTTTCGTTGAATGTCACTTGCGTAGCTCTTTTATCAAAATATTATGAGATGACATAAGCTCTCATTGGTATTGTTTTAGAATCAATGTATCTCCGACTTTGTGTCAAATTAAGCCGCTTCCTCTACGACTCCAGATTATATTTTCGTATTCTGCTGTCGTAAATTTGCTTTTTCATTTTTTCAAAGTCTTTGGCACTGCACGGAAATGTTATGACTGACTTCAAATCAAAGGATGCAAGACGCCGCTATCTTGGGTATATTTTCCCTCATTTTTGTTCTACTGATAAAAAAGCTCAGAGTTGTTTCGGATGTAGACCATAGACTTTAAGGCGCTGAGGTGATATAGGCTTTAATATTAAATGCTACTTGCCATTTTGGAGCTCCTGAGACTGATCGAGTAAGCTGTCCATTTTCTGATCAGTTTTAGTGTCATTAACGTTGTATAAGACCAAGAAGAAACCTTTGATGGATTATAAATATGAAATATCAGTAAGTAGATTTTGGAAGCAATTTTCAAGAGATTTCTTTTCACTTTGGCTTACTTCCTTTAGACATCATAGGCACTTGTGTGTATTTGATAAGATAAGTTTATTTTTGCTAAGTGATTTTGAAGTGGTTTCACATCGCCACCTTTCTTGCCTTCATCGAGAATCCCGGCCATTCGCATTATGATTGCCGAAATTTTTTTTTTCAAAACAGCTTTGTTCTGTAAAATCAGTAATTTGGCGTGACCAAGTCGGCCATGACAGTCGACATTAGGAAATGCTTGCCAAACTAGAAAAATTATTGAACCTCAAAAAAACTCAAATCACTTTGAAACATGTCTTTCTTACTTTTCACTTGACAAACTCGTGACGTCATTAAAGTCTAATTATGTGGTTGATAACCAACTGAAAATAGGAAAAGGCAAACGGAAAATCATATTTTGATTTTTCAAAAGGAAAAGGCCATTCTCCAAAATTAGAGGGAAAATTAGTTTTGACAATTTTAGTTAGGCAAGAATCAAAAAGCGATCGTGTTTGATGTCGCCGGTCGATATTTCTTTGCATAAAATATGATTTATCATTAAGTCGTGCTCAGTTGTCATCCTTCACTCGATCGCTCTCTTACCCTTGGAAATCCAGTGTACATTAGGAGAGAAAAAAGCATGTATGAATAATAATCAAAAATTTTAATAACTCTCCAAGCCAATAAATAAAATTTCGTAATAGTAATAACAGGGGGTTTGGGTAACATTCGTTTTGTTAAAAAAAACACCAAAACACACTCGTGTACCCCTCCCCTAGATAAGCCTCCCCCACAAATGTTAATGATTGAGACTTTTGTTCACAGCCAATCAAACGCGTGCACCCCGGCCTATCCAGTCCTAGCTCCAGTCCTATATTTTGTTAACTTTCTTTATTGTATTTCAATATCGGATTTTCTTTCTTCCATCTCGTGTTTTCTGCCTTGTGAATTATAAGTAACTCTTCAGGGAATAAATAACATTTCTCTCGATATAGCCACTGTAGTCAGGCCTTGAAAAATAGCGTCGACCAGACTACTTGTGAGCCGACTGTTGTCGACTGTCTTGACATCGGCTCGTTTAAACGCAATGCAGCTTAAAATAAGTAACACGTTTACAGAGCCCAGTTAACAAGAAGAAGAAGTTATACTTAGAAGACGACGGACGTTTGATCTAGTGAAACCATCAATCCAAGCCGCATATCGACAATGAATCTGGAGACAAAATTGATAGAACGTTTTGGTTCGTTTCCTTGTAACTGAAAACATGCATGGACTTCGAGTATATTGAATCTTGTAATTTCTAAGCAACTCTGTTGGCAAAATACTGAACACGTTTTCAGAATAGAAAAGTAATATATCTTTTCATTCAAGGTTGATATTTCGTTACCGGATTCTGTTGTCGGAGTTGATGCGAGAGTCCTGCATGATTTATTGGGATTTTATTCTGACTACCTTTGCTTAGTTCTGCTCACGAAGCCATCCATCCCAGAGCCATTACTGAACTCACCATGATTTTTTGATTACCAGGTACTATCATCTCGGGGTTTGTTGCATTTTGTTTATCTGAAGAAGAACCAATGTATGACAAAATGGCCGTCCTTTGTATCAACTGTTTCGTTGGCCTCGCTCAGTTGGCTACAGTAGTATTCATGATGATTGGTTGGATTTGGAGTATAACTTGGGGATGCGCTTTTGTTGGGCTTTCAAGTAAGTTCACGTCATATACTGTACCTGCTGAGCCATATAGAATATGCATGCTATTAAGAGGGTTTAATCGCCTCCCTCTTTCTTCCCCTCCTTCCGTCCCTCCTACCCTCCCTCCCTCCCTCCCTCTGTAACTAAGAGCCCAAAAACTCCTTGGAAACATGTGTTGCCTGTTTAAATGTATATTTTATTAAAACATAGATATAAATATATGTGACCTGGGATGATTACTGATATTTTTAACGAAATATTGTCGCTTATAGCCCATTTTAATTCAGTGTTTGCTTTTCATTTTTTAGCAAAATACCGCAGTAAGAGAAAACAGCATTCAAGACAGTTAGAAGTGAGCACTTCATGAAACCCAGGCTGTAAATCAAGAAAGGAGAATATAAATTAACTGAAAAGATAAACACGACCTGATATATAGTAGTCGTTATTTATTTGATCAAGAATGAAGACAGGCAAGGCTTCCAGGCTGCTCTTGTTATCTGCTAAGCCGTTTTTCAACGAATACCACGAGGAAGAGAGGGACCGTCCTCAGTAATGGTGCTCTCGTCACAAGCCTAGCCAATCCTGGGTGCATTTTTACCAGCATAGGACTGTCGCGAGCCGGCCCCTAGAAGGCCCGGGTATATTTTTTCGTCTGTCATTTTTACCTTTAAAAATAGAATTTTTAGAAGTTTTCTTCATACTTCTGAAGATTAATTATTCGTTTCTCCGATGAGGAATACGGTTACTGATTTTCCCACTATAGAGAAAATCGATTATTCCATATATAACTTCAGATACATACTGTCTGTCCCTCGGGAGTGGAAGGTATTCCCATGTCAAAAGCGCGGGTACGAGTCTAATTTTGAAAAACAAGACAAATCAATTCAAGCAAAAATGTTTGAGACGTCCTAAAATCCAACAACTTTCTCCTTTCTTGATCCAAAATGAGGGAGTTACGATTTTAACCCCTAATAGATACTAAAGAGCACTATCCCCGCCCTTTGTTGTATGGGAGTACCCCCTCCCCCGGGCGGGGGACCTGTCCCCGCATCCAACAAAACCCCACGTCAGCACCCCTTATCAATGTTTAAAAATTTGTAGTTCTGATTCTCTATCTTGAAATTATGCCGATTGATTGATTCTCTATTATGAAATTATTAAATTTAAAATTATGTATAGTCCGAATCCTAGGCCTTATAACCGTCTTTATTATATAGATATCGATGAAATGCCATTTTTTCTCTAGTGTCGAAAACTTGATATCTTTCACCAGTGGAAGATACCATATCTTTCACACCTGAAGATATCGCTGTTGAACCCGCTTCGTGCTATTTTAATAAAGAATTTTTGAGCTTTTGTTTTAGTTCAGTTTCATCGATATCTATATAATAAACAGAACATTACATGGCTGCTTGGAGATACGAATTTTATCTTCTCGTTTTCAATTTAGATATCTCACTCGTTCGCTGCAGATACCAAATATATAAGATATCAAATGAGATGCAGAACGTAAAACATACCAAATAAGTTACTTCTTTACGTTCTGCATCTCATTTTGATACTCTTGCATCTCATTAAATGGCTAGAATTCCGGTCATATCACGGGCTCGTTACCAACGACTTTGGTTTGCAAAACATAAAACTATGAGGCCAAAACACGTTAAATAAGGCTCTTTTAGTGCATTAATTAAACACCATTTTATTTTCAAATAAATACCATTCTGTGTGTTTTGAGTGTATTTAGAAATCAATATGGTCGAACAGACGTTTTAGAAGCAAAAGTCTTTATCGAATAACGCCACAGAGAGCCTAAGAGCTCCGAGGCCCGCAGTTTTTTAAAACTCAAAATCACTAGATAGGGTATAGAAATTGGCAGCGCTGTTGTACTACACTAGGTTTAATGTCACGTTCTGATCAACGTTTATGTGTGTTTCAAGGCTACTTGTCAATCATATATAGAACGGAAGTAATCGGGGACAGGGTGGCGGCAATGTGGGGCATGAGATCACATATGACAAGCAACGATGCCCAAGGGGGTGGGGACAAAGTCAAGATTTTACTGCTAGTAGTATGTTATTATGGTGGGGCACTAGGTGGCATATTGTAAAACATTGACTGGACTGGACTGGACTGGACTGGACTGGACTGGACTGGACTGGACTGGACTGGATCTCTTTAAACCCTGCACAACAAGGCGGGCAAGATCATCCTAGATCGTCCTACATACTCCTCAGCATCTGATGCTCGGAAAGAATTTCAGTGGATGTACTCAGTAAGCGCAGATACTACCATCGATGTTTACATATATTCAAATGTAAAAGCAGATTATTATCATCAAATCTAAAGCTGAATAAGCTCAATGAGCATGGAAGCGAGTTTCGCTTACCACGACCCAAAACTAACTGGGGGAAACAAACAATGCAGTACCAAACCATGAAAGAATGGAACAATCTGAGTGACACTCTTAAACAGTGTTCTAAGATGAGCCATTTCAAATCGAATTTCTTTTAAACTTGTAAACCTAAATAATTCGAACTTTTCATCTTTTACATTTTTATAATAATGATGTTGACTCAAGTTCAGTATAACGAGCTGGTTTCGATATTAAACCTCCAAATTCTCTTGCATATTAGTGTCAAAATATCTTATTTATCAGGACCTTCTTAAATCACATTTAAAGCATATCTTTGTAACAGGTCTTTTGGTGTTAATGTGAACTCTAGTATCTCTAAATCCCATTCATTTGAATGTGGCGTACCGCAGGGCTCGATCTTAGGCCCAATCTTATTTCTACTTTACATTGGACCACTTGGTGACATTATTCGGAAGCATACTTTAGAATTTCATTTCTATGCTGATGACACACAGCTTTACATAACTTTTTCGACCTCATCAGAGCTAGGCCAAGGATGCCAGGCGCGCGGTTGAGGCATGCGCTGTTGACATCAAGAAATGGATGACGAAGAATATGCTAAAGCTGAATTCAGATAAAACTGAGACAGTTGTTTTATCAAATAGTCATCGACCAAGACCTGCTGTTGATTCTATACACATTTCAGGTTCTGATATTTCTCCCTCTCCTGTTGCTCGCAACATTGGTGTTATTCTTGATAGTAAGCTTTCTCTCGATGACCATATTAGATACGTTTGCAAGTCTTGCTTCTTTCACATACACATATATTTTGAAAATTCGTAAATATCTTAGCCAGATTTCATGTAAGACCATTGTTCATGCCCTCATCTTGATTTATAAGATTTTGATTGAATGTATTTTGTTTGGCCATGTCATTACTTTGAAAAAAGTAAAATGTAAATGTAATGTAATGAACGCAGCCTTTATATTTCAAGTACGTACAAAAGAATATGAACTAAGAGAAGGAATCCTCGTGCCCCATCATGTGCACACTTTGATGCTATTTTAAGAATCTATTCTAAAAATATCATGCAATGATATCATTTATTTGATCGTTTGAATTCTGCACACGCATAGTACGCGCGTGCTCTACGCGGTTTGCTAACGTTCAGTCTTGTGCTTTTCTTATGTTCAAATGTTCAAATCTGCCCTCAAGATGACGATGTAGATCGAAAGCTTTGGAAAATAAATGTAAAAATACTCCAGAAAGTTGAACAAATTACTACTTCAATTTCCTGTCAGTCATAAATGCGCGTGCAGAAAAACAAATGGCTTAAAAATAGCATCAAACTGTGCACATGATGGTTACAAGGCTATATAGGGGGGATTCCTTCTCTTAGTTCATTTTCTCTTGGTACGTATGCTACTCCACTACGATAGTCGCTCAATATCGATGCAAATGGCTTGAAACTTCACAGACTCAAAAGAAAACGTAAGCCAGGTAAGACCTTTATTGGTATGAAATTTTGAATTTTAATTTTTTTACGGTATTTTGACGATAAATCAACACTAATTGCTGGTTTGCAATCATTCCCAAGAGAGTGAAATAACAAAAGAAACGACGGCCATATTGGATGACATAACAAAAGAGACTAATGACTGATCCCCAACATGGCTGCTGTAAAAACCATCAATAGCCAGCTTGGGCTACCTGTTGATCATTCCTTTAAGCTGACCAAGAGGAGCGGAGGCTCTAATTTGGCGGGAAAAGATCAGTTAGCCATTCTGATTGTTAATATCACTGGTTTAATTCTTAATAATGTCGGTTGCCAGTCCTAAAACCAAGGTGAAAGTGGTCCTTGGAGCTCAATGGGGAGATGAAGGAAAAGGAAAATTGGTAGATATATTGGCTACTCAGGCAAATTTAGTCTGCCGATGTCAAGTAAGAATGGTCCCTAATATTGACTGCTATGATATGACTTGTAAACATGTTTTCAATCATTGCACAGCACAGCACAGCACAGAAGGCAAGCACTTCTAGTACGTAATTATTTCATCTCATTACCAAAATTACGTAAACTAACTTCACTAGAGAAAGATTATAGACGTACGATTATAGAAGTGCTTGGCTTCTGTGCAATTGTCTTGCTACCACGTGCTGTTGAACAGGACATCGATTTTATTAAGATTTTATTAATGTCCTAGATATTAACAATCCATTTAAACAGAAAACGATGAAAACGAACAGTTGTTGATGAACAACACTTTGAGTTAACAAATCAAAAACAGTTTTCCGTGTTTGATACTCTGATCAAAACACGCGGGATGTTGAGAGAACACGAGAGGAGCGTAGGAAACCACGACGCGTAGACCCGGGCCCAGGTTTTGTAGCTACCCGAACACACGAGAAGCTGGAAACCACTCCGCTACGCGGGTAGCTACAAAACCTGGGCCAGGGTCCATGGCCTACCCTTTGGCCTTCCTGTTATTTACTCATTTTGTATTTCCCTTTGTAAAAATCATCCTTGGACAAATTCCTCCGTCAGTATTGGGCATTTAGAAGTTCAGAATATTTCTGATAGTTATATGTACCATGTCATCACTTTTTTGCTGAACATCTCATATCATAATGTATATATACACAACATTCGACTTTCAGAAATTTCTGAACATCTCATATCGTAATGTATATAGATGATATACATGGGCGTGTGGAGATACGAATTTTATCTTCGATTGAGTGTTCAATATTGATATCTAACAAGTGAGCGCAGCTAACGAGTGAGATATCTAAATTGAATATGAGAAGATAAGATTCGTATCTCCAAGCGGCCATGTAATGTTCTGTTTATTATATAGATATCAATGAAACTTAAATAAAACAAAAGCTCAAAAATTCTTTATTAAAATAGCAAGCCGATTCAACAGCGATATCTTCAGGTGTGAAAGATATGGTATCTTCCACTGGTGAAAGATATCAAGTTTTCGACACTAGAGAAAACCTGGTATTTCATCGATATCTATATAACAAATATATATATACAACATTCAACTTTCAGAAATTTCTGAACATCTCATATCGTAATATATATGTAAAACAATAAACTTTCAGAAATTTCTGAACATCTCTTGTCGTAATATATACGACATTCAACACAAGTTACTTGAAAAATACATGATCATATGTCAACCGGAACGCTAGTTGCTCGCTTAACAAGAGAAATGAACTCATTTCTTCGTGTAGACAATCACATAGAAACAAAGCGTTATTGCGTAACAACTAAACTGGCATAATTATGTAAATAACTATATAAAGTGAATACTTTGTAAAATTCAAGCTTAAAAATATCCTGACGAGTGAGTCCGACTCACGAAACAGTTCTGTAGAGAACAAATTATGGTGGTGTGATTTCTACACTAACACATATATATACAGTATATATATATGTATTATATTATATTATATGTATATATATTTCGCTCTACATGAAGTATCGAACACTGTTCTACTGTCGACCAACTACACACACATACTAGTATACATCTATTTCGAAACTCGTTGTCGCACCAAGAGCCTCAAGTAACAAGCCAAGGCCTAGAGAACGTCGGTACTCTAATATTATGATATGATAAGCAACACAGGAAGCCCATTTAATAACTGTGTGCCCACTCTTGTGAAATAAAACAAATATGGTTGCATTGATTGAATTCTGACAGAGGAATTTGTCCAAGGATGATTTTTACAAAGGGAAATATAAAATGATTAAAAAATAGGTAGGCCATAGGGTAGGCCATAGGGTAGGCCATAGGGTAGGCCATGGCCCAGGCCATGGACCCAGGCCCAGGTTTTACAGCTACCCCGAGTGTTCTCACAACATCCCAAGTGTTTTGATCAGAGTATCAAACACAGAAAACTGTTTTTGATTTGTTTTATAAAATAACAAACAAGCGAAAAGATTGAAAAAAAGCAAAGT